TAAAGATTTTCTCCCATTCTATAGGCTCTCTGTTCACATTCTTGATTGTTTCCTTTGCTGAGAAGGAGCTTTTTCACTTGCTACCATCCCATTTATTCATTCTTGATATTTCTTCTTGTGCTTTAGGAGTCTCTTTGAGGAAGTTGTTTTCTAAGCTGACATGATGAAAGGTTGGGTATATTTTTTTCTGTCAGTAAATGCAGGGTCTCTGGTCTAATGCCTAGGTCCTTGATCCACTTTGAGTTGAGTTTTGAGCAGGATGAGAGATAGGGGTTCAAATTCAAATTCTATGATGTATGGATTTCCAGTTTTCCCAGTACCATTTGTTGAAGAGGCTACCTATTCTCCCACATATGTTTATGATGTCTTTATCTCATGTGAGATAACTGTATTTATGTGGGTGTGTCTCTGTGTCTTCTATACTRTTCCATTGGTCTTCATATTTGTGTTTGTGCCAATACCGTGCCATTTTTGTTACTATAATTACTATAGCTCTATACTTAATTTAATGTCTACTGTTGTGATTCCTCCTGCTTCAATTTTCTCCYTAGGGATTGCTTTGGCTATTCTGGGTCTCTTGTTTTTCCGAATAAATTTCATGACTGCTTTTTCTATTTCCATGAAGAATATAATTGGAATTTTAACAGGAGTTGCATTAAATTTATGTAGTGCTTTTGGTAGTATGGCCCTTTTGACAATATTAATTCTGCCTATTCAAGAACGTGCTAGATCATTTCATTTTCTGAGGTCTTCTTTAATTGCTTTCTTTAGTAGTTTGTAGTTTTTCTTGTAAAGTTCTTTCGCCTCTTTTGTTAGATTGATTCCCCAGTATTGTTTTGCTTTTTTTAAGGATATTGTGAATGGGATAGTTATCCTGATTTCTCTTTTAGATGACTTGTCATTGGTGTATAGGAATGCAACTGATTTATGGTTGTTGATTTTATACCCTGATACTTTCCTGAATTCATTTATGAGTCCTAGAAGCTTTCTGGTAGAGTTGTTATTGTCTTCTAAATATAGAATCTTGTCATTGGCAAATAGGGACAGTTTGAGCTCTTCTTTTCCTATTCATGTTCCTGTAATGTCTTTTTTTTTTTTCTCATTGCTCTTGCTAGAGTTTCAAGGATTATGGTGATTAGAAGTGGTGAAAGAGATCATCCCTGTTTTACTCAAGTTTTTAGAGGGAATGCTTTCAATTTTTCTGCATTTAGAATGATGTTGGCCTTAAGGTTATCACATATAGCTTTTATAATGTTGAAGTATGTTCCTACTACTCCTAGTTTTTCTAGTGTTGTAAATATGAATGGATGCTGTATTTTGTCAAATGCTTTTTCTGCATCCATTGACATAATCRTGTGATTCTTGTCTTTAAGTCTATTGATGTTTATGTTTATTTATTTCCTTACGTTGAATAAATCTTGCATCCCTGAGAAGAACCCTACTTGATCTTGCTGCACTTTTTAATGTTTTCATATGTGATTTGCCAGTATTTAATTAAGAATGCTCATCAGGAATATTGGTCTGAAGTTTTCTTTCCTTGATGTGTCTTTGCCTAGTTTTGGTATCAGGGTGATACTAGCTTCATAGAATGAAGGGTTCCATTCTTTTACTATTTCATGAAATAATTTGAGGCATATTGGTGTTAGTTCTTTTTTGAAGGTCTGGCAAAACTCAGATGAGAATCTATCCGATCCTGGGCTTCTTTTTCTTGGTAGGCTTTTGATGGCATCTGAATTTTACAACTGTMCATTGTAGTATTTCCATTTTCATCACACATTTTAGTAATTTGAGTTTTGTCTCTCTTTCTCTCTTTTAGCTTGGCTGAATGTTCATCTGTTTTATTGATTTTTTTTTAGAAAACCAATTTTTGTTTTGTTGATTTAAAATTTTTTTTCTTTTGTTTCAATTTCATTGATTTCAGCTCTGATTTTAATTATTTCCTGTCTTCTATTGCTTTTGGTGTTGATTCATTCTTCTTTTTCCAGGGCTTTGAGATGTGAAAGTTTACTTGGTGGCTTTCTATTTTTTCAATGAGTGATCTCAATGCAATGAACTTTCC